TGTGAGGGTTGTTATGGGGGGTTGGGAGGGGTTTGGTGACGGAGAATTTTGGGCAGGGGCATTTTCGGGGGTCCTTCGGGAAGTCTTTGCCAAGGTCGTCCTCTGGTTTGCCCTTGGGTAGGGTTGTCTGGGGGTTGTTGACAAATGCATCAGAGGCGAACGAAACACAGGACAAAACAAGTATAGGCGTACATGAAGTTCGTGATTTCAAACAACAACAATTACAAACAGTTTTAGAAGCATTGAGTCATTGACCATTATCTGCGAGTGACAATCGTTACAGAAATTTAGAAACCACAACATTACAGGGCAACAAAACAACAAGGCGAAACAACTGCACCATACATACACGACAATAAATGAAACATGGAGACTGAACTCAATCAAACAATGTGCGAAGAAAGTGTGCAATCGTTTGAAACATCGATAAAAAAGTAGAAGGAAAACAAAAAAAATGCAAGCGCTGCAGATGCTGCGCCCATGTCTGAATAAAGAGTGCAATCCTCTGAAACATCAATGCGAGAATAAAACGAACAAGAAACAACAATCTGCACCTACTGCACCTGTGTATGGAAAAAATGTGCAATAGTCTAACCATCTGTACAAATACAAATGCAGTCATGACAAGCTGCACAGACTACACATATGAACACATCACCTCATCCGACGCACTAAATATACTATGCACTACTAAGAAATACAGGACGAAAGAGGACCGCTGGTGGGACTAAACATCACCGTCTTCCACAATGTCTTTCCTCCTCCTCTGCGGCACCACAACTGTGCACCATCGCCGCCACCTGTGCCGCCTGCCGGCCCGTGCACAGTATCCGGAGCATGCCCCCCCCCTGTGGCGCCGTCTCAACCCCGCGCTGTGATCGAAGAAGGTTGTACATGGAAACCTTCTTCTGCTGGCCAAGAAGCATCTCCAAATCGTCGGTACCCGACTCCCAAACGATTGATGTCTGTGACGGTCGCTGCTCAAACACCGCCCTCACATCCTCCCGCAATATACGTCCGACAATTGTCCTCTTGGGGGGGCCACTTTACCCCGCCTGCTCCCCCCTACCTGCTGTATGCCCCCTTGTACGTGGCATCGCCGCCTCAGCAGGTGCTGTCATGGGCTGCTCCGTCGCCCGGGTGGAGGCCCTCTCCCGCCAACCTGCTGTCTCCGCGACAACGTTCCCGGCCAATGCCTCCCGAGTCCGCGGATGTAAACCGGCCAACCCGGGCTGACTCTCTCGCATCGACTACGTCACCCTCCTCACAGTACTAAGACTCTTACCTGCTCTCATCTTCTTCTTCCGTGGGCCAATGCCTCCCGAGTCCGCGGATGTAAACCGGCCAACCCGGGCTGACTCTCTCGCATTGACTACGTCACCCTCCTCACAGTACTAAGACTCTTACCTGCTCTCATCTTCTTCTTCCGTGATTTGGGAGACGGAGACTCTACAAGTGCCTTTGCGGGAATCCGTTCTTTGACTGGACCCTCAGCATGTACGGGGGTAGTGGCATCTGTGGTGAACGATGGCACTGACGGGCTGCACGGCACGTAAGCCGGGCCCTCTGCCATTAACCTCCTCGATGCCTCATCCATCCGTCCGCGTCAATCTGCCTGCAATGGGTCCTCCCGTGCCTGCCACTCCAACTCCCCCGCCGTCGTGGCTCCACCGATAGGCAATATACAAACACCCTGACCCGGCGACGCGGGTCTCTCGCCTGCATCCCCACCGCCCACACTGCCACACTCAAGCATTGCATCGTCCGTCGCACGATGACCCTCACTACCGCCCGTTTCGAGCATCCGCTTTGCCCGTGCCCTCGACGCAATACTATGTGTCATCTCGCAACGGCTAGCCAAGTCCTGCGCCCTCTCCCTCTCCTCGCGGTTGATCGTATCCTGCTCCGACTCTGGCGCTCGCTCGTGCACAGGTCTACAATCCCCATCATTCCCTACTGCACGCTCCTGCTGCCCGGACGAACCATGTGTCCCCTCTGCTGCCTCCTGCAACATGCTGCTACTGATGTCGCCCATGCTGCATGAAGATATGTCCCGGAGTATCTGACCGACGGGCGTGGCCGCTGCGTCCGCATCACCACTGCCACGCTCGCCTGCCGGTGTCGGAGGAAGCCCTAACGAAACATCCAAAATACCACTGAAACGGGCACCCAACTGCGCAGAAGCCCTCCGAACCTGTGCAGCCTCGCCAGCAACCTCTGCAAACCCGCCTGCGACCTCCTCAGACGCCGCTGCAAACTCTGTAGAGGAGGGAGCAGCCTCTGCAGCGGCCTCTGCCGATGCAGCACCAACCTCTGCCGACCCGGCACCAACCTCTCCTGCCGCGGCATCCTCATCAACCCAGTGCACAGTGCGAGTGGACGATGCTGACTCTCGCCTTGCCCGTCCTCCGCCACCACGGCCTGCACCCCCTATGTTTCGTGCACCCCCCACACCCCTGCCTGCACCACTGCCTCCCTTGCCTGCACCATTGCATCGGTCGGCACGCTGTCGAGCCGACGTCCGCAAACCACCTGCAGCCTGTGTATCATCGCCACCGTCATCGTCGTCGTCACCACGTCCGCATGGTGGGGAATAGCTGGGATCATCCTCGTCCTCACTGCTGCCCTCGTACCCCTCCCTGTCATCGTCGTCGTTGTCGTCTCCCTCGTCAACAATGTCCCGAGTCGTCTGCTCGTCATGTCCAGGACGATCTGTAGGTGGAGGGGGATGCTGCGCAGCGGCCGCAGTGGAAGCAGGAGCACTCGAAGGCAGAGGTGGAGGGGGAGGGGGACGCGGCACAGCGGATGCAGTGAAAGCACGCGTCCGAGGATGCAACGTCTCGGCGAGAGGACCATCGTCATGACCATCATTAGAATCTTCGGGCTTTGACTCCACTGCTAGGTCGGCTGGATCAGACCACAGCTCCGCCTCAATCGGGTCCCTAGCCATAGGATCAGGCTCGGGATCGTACACGGTGTCCAACTCAGTCGTCATGAGCACCGTGGCGCGACGACCGAAATACGTCTCAACGCTGGGAGGAGCCTTGGAAAGGCGATCCTTCCGCCCGCGCTACATTTGCCGCTCGCGCTGCGCCTCTGTGACTCGATCAACTCGCCGAACACCCTCGTCACGAGGCGAAGAAATAGTATCGTCTGACTCCTCCTCGGCATCCTCCCATGGCAGAACGTAGCCTGAACCCCTCCCCTGACAGCGACTCAATCTCAAGTTGGTGGATATCTCCACCAAACGAGCAAGCTTGATAAAACCAAGCTGGTTACGCTTCTTCACCTTAACACGCTCATGGACGATCCAGTTCCTCTCTGCTGGAGAGGCGCACGTTCATGTGTGCGTCAGGCGAATGGTGTAACTCTAAAGAAGAGGGACCCCGTCCCCGTAAGAGGGGTGGGCGGCAGAGAACCGCCGATAAAGGCTGAGAGCCGCCCCGTGCTCTCTGATGAAACGCACGACAACTCAAGCCCTAATGATGGTGTCCTCCCTCTTCCCAAGCTTCCCGTTGGTGCCGTCCTTTGCGATGTGTGACAACAACAAGTTGCAGACATGGACGACACACGAAAGCCAAGTAATGCGACTGTACTTGACTTCCTCCTTCGCGAGGAGCTTGGATGCAGCCACATACGCGGACGCGGAATCAGTGCAAATGGCGTTGACGTTTTCGACACCGAACGTATCGAACACGTCCTTCCATCGCTTCACCACGGCCTTGGCTGTTTCCTGAACAGCACCGTCGCGCTGCACAGTCCTGAAAAGGTAGACTCCCGTGGGACCAGCAACAAGGAAGTTGACTATCTGGTCGCTTGTGATGGACTTGCGACCATCCGTGAGGATGGTCGCGCCCGTCGCCGCAATGTCCTTGCGGATGGCCGCCACCAACTCCGCCACAACTCGCTGCTGCTCTGGGATGCCGTCGCCGGAAATCACACGGTGTGTGGGCAACACAGGATGTGTGTACGACGAACACTCGAGCAACCGCCTCCTCACTCGCTGGTACTCCGGCCTCCTCGCCGCCTCAAATGGAATACCGCTCACGTACCACCACTACAGGAACTCGTTCGAAAACTCTCGTTACCACACCGGATCGAAGGTCTCCAACATGGATGTCTGTCGAAGTACTCTGCCCTTCTTCGGCAGAGGAGGTGCTGGTGTCACCTCTGTGACGGTCTTCTTTGCCTTCCTCTTTCTCTTCTTCAATTTTGTGGCCTCCTTCATCGCTTTGGTAGCCCCCTCTTGGCCTCGACGGCCGGCGGCCATCAGCCCCCCATCAAGAGAGGCCCCAATGTTAGCGCCCTGATCCTCGTCGTCATCGTCGTCGTCGTCGTCCTCGCTCGGGGTAGTGTCCTCGTCAACGGCCTTGTCCCCCCTCATCTTACCCCTGGCGCGCTCCACCTCTCGCCGCACGTCCATATCCGTTGTATCGCTGTCACCATTATCACCTCCCCCCTCGGTCGCCCTCGTTCTTGCTGTCGTCATACTCCTCCTCCCCCACCTACTCCTTCCCCGAAGTATTTCTATTGTCTCGAAACCCACGAGAACTCAGGAAGTCGAGGATCTTCCGATGGTGGCTGTGATCGAACGAGTACTTCGTCTTGTTCCAAATCTCCGCCAGCTGCTCCACGGAGACTTTAGCACAATTGTTCTTTATTGTGAAGTGTTGTGCGGCCTTCGTCTGGCTTCCCTGAAACCCCTGGCCACACAATTTGCACTCCATGAGAAAGTTCTCGTTGGATTGTGGCAGTGTTTACCCCTTTGTTTGTCCTTACTGATAGGGACAAACCGCTGCTCTCCCCTCCCTTTCCTCGGTGCCATTGCACACACCCCGCAAAGTCAGGAGCGAATAACTGCGTCCTAACCCCCCTAGAA